CAAAGTCACGGCCTTAAATATTTTAATAATAGAAAACAATTTTTAGTTTTATATACTTAAAAACTTTATAAAAAAAAAAGAAACAAAAGAAGAAGTAAATGAATAAATTGGGAGTCAAGCTTCAACCCTGTAGCTTTCTGGTTAGTTGTTCGTTCTTGGTTTGGGTGAAATGGAAAAATATTATGACGGAAGCCTCACATTGATTTGAGATACTCAATTTCAGTGACAACTTAATTACAAACTAATTGATATCCTTTTCATTTTCATTTATTTTCTTTTATTTTCATTTCAATTTTGACAATTACAAACTAATTGATATCCTTTTCATTTTCATTTATCTTTTTTTTTTCACTTTTTATTAAAATTGAAAAATTGTAAACCTCTTTGGTAACTGCTTTCTTGAGTTTTCAATGTTTAGCCTTTATTTTTCAATTTCCTTTAAAAAAAAACATTAAAAAGTAGTACAAAACAAAATTTTCAGTTTTAAAAAAAAAATGGCTTCGAAAAATAAAAACTAAAACGAAATAGTTATCAAACTTGTCCTTAATTATCAAGAAAATAAGAAATTTTAAGATACTTTTTTTAATGCATTGTAGAGATCACAATTCAATGTTGTTTGTTTTGATCTAGTGTGAACTGAAGACTACAATTCCACATTTGGGCATCTCCAGCTGTGCAGCACAAATTACCAATATTGTTAAATGTCAATGAAGATGTTTAGTCCTCATGATGTTTCACCTAAAGTAAAGGTGAATGAAGATGACATCCTTAGCGTTGATTGCTCACTTCCAATTTGCTACTGGGTTGGTGTTACTTTCGATGTACGCCACCTTCTACTCATGCCTTTGAATCTCACTTACATCGGTCTCACTTCCAAATTACAAGTCTTCGTTCAACTAGTCCTAAGTCTCGTCACTTCGACGTAGAGGCTGGGCAAGTCTAAGTCGTGCACAAGTCTTGGTAAGAACTTGTTTCCCTATTTATGTGAATATAGTGAGTTCAAGTTTTCTATCGAATTAAAAAAGACGAAAACTACTACAATTAAGGAGAGTGTATATATATATATACTGTGTATGGAGAGAAGTCGTTTCCTACTGTCAAGAATGTTGTCGAGGATACATTGCTTGTTTTATATCTATATGATGATTATGGCTAATTACTTTACTACAGGTGCATTAGCAATAGCTCATACCAATTTCAGCACAGATCAGTCTGCGCTTCTTGCGCTCAAAGCTCACATCACTAGTGACCCTCAAAACATCTTGACCGCCAACTGGTAGTCTGCCTCCAATTCCAACATTTGCAACTGGGTTGGCGTTAGCTGTGGTGCTCGCCACCACAAAGTCACGGCCTTAAATATTTTAATAATAGAAAACAATTTTTAGTTTTATATACTTAAAAACTTTATAAAAAAAAGAAACAAAAGAAGAAGTAAATGAATAAATTGGGAGTCAAGCTTCAACCTTGTAGCTTTCTGGTTAGTTGTTCGTTCTTGGTTTGGCTGAAATGGAAAAATATTATGACGGAAGCCTCACATTGATTTGAGATACTCAATTTCAGTGACAACTTAATTACAAACTAATTGATATCCATTTCATTTTCATTTATCTTTTTTTTTTCACTTTTTATTAAAATTGAAAAATTGTAAACCTCTTTGGTAACTGCTTTCTTGAGTTTTCAATGTTTAGCCTTTATTTTTCAATTTCCTTTTAAAAAAAAAACATTAAAAGTAGTACAAAACAAATTTTCAGTTTTAAAAAAAAATGGCTTCGAAAAATAAAAACTAAAACGAAATAGTTATCAAACGTGTCCTTAATTATCAAGAAAATAAGAAATTTTAAGATACTTTTTTTAATGCATTGTAGAGATCACAATTCAATGTTGTTTGTTTTGATCTAGTGTGAACTGAAGACTACAATTCCACATTTGGGCATCTCCAGCTGTGCAGCACAATTTACCAATATTGTTAAATGTCAATGAAGATGTTTAGTCCTCATGATGTTTCACCTAAAGTAAAGGTGAATGAAGATGACATCCTTAGCGTTGATTGCTCACTTCCAATTTGCTACTGGGTTGGTGTTACTTACGATGTACGCTGATGAGTATATTTTATATTATATATTTTACCCTAATCTTAGTATATTTTGGTTAATATATTGGAAGAATTTTGATGCTTTGAATTGTATTTTCAATATAGGACTTTCGACTTCCTCTGGAGCAAAACAGGATCAAATGGACGAATTTTGGAGTAATTCCAATTGGAGGACGTTCGTGAGTCACTTAGCTTGATCGTATCAAAATTTGGGATTTTTCCACCAAGCGGTTATTTTCTGGCGAGGAAATAAAGAAGCAGTGCGCAGTGCTGGAAATTGACGTTTTTGGGCTTAAATGACGTTTTTGGAGCCCAAAATGACCTCGGATGGGTTCGTGGCCTTCTGGAAAAGTGTTCAGAATATTCCAAACATTCAATCCAGCTATATTGGGCCAGTTTTGGAGCAGCTTATGGGCCAAAACGTGGCTGTTCAGATTTTAGACGAATTTTGCTATTTTTATTTAGGGTTTTTATTAATTTTAGTTTGCTAGGGTTTGTGGGGTGGCTTAGCAAATATATTGCTTGGCCGTCTACAGTTTTAGACTACGCTTTATTTTATGCAATATTGGAGACAGAGAGAAGTGCTAGGGTTTTGAAGATTTTCTACTTGAAGGTGTTTTCAATCCTTTTCTTAATAGATATTTCTATGATTTCAATTATGAATATGCGGAACTAATTTCTATTGCTAGGGCGAAGCCTTGAGCCTTAGCATGAATATGTGATTTTTATTTAATTGCTTATGATTGATTGCATGCATATTTTGAATTGTTAATCACTGGGATAAAAACTATCTAATTGTCTTAATGTCTGATCACCATTAGGATCTTTAGAAAAGTAATTTGATGCAATTTTGGTCGGAAGGTTCCCTGAAATTGACGCTGGCTTCTTGTGATTAATAATTGTAATTTCTCTTAGGATGAATATCACGTCTTAAGGATTGCATGGTTTTTCAAAGGATTTTCATAAAGCATAATGAGTCTTTCATGTTTAGATTTGATCCGAACGTCCGGACGGGTTGCATGTTAGATATACGTTCTATGTTGGAGGTTCCAAGTAGAATATGAATTAGGAAAATCTAACCTTCAAAGTGGCATGTGTAGATCATAAGTAATTGGTAAAAATTCATAGGATTGCTAGGTGATGGTGGAACCCTAGTGCTTTCTTAATTTGATTTTCTCAAAACTGTTTTCTTCTCTTTAGTCCTAATATTGCAGATTGTTTATTTTAATTCATTAAATTCGTTTTTATTTTAATTAGGTTATAAAATCAATCACTTCAATTTCTACTTTACAATAATTAAATGGAATCTGATTAGTTCAAATTATTTAATAATCCCTGTGGAGATGACCTTGCGAAATCCGTTTATACTACAATAACTTTGTAATTCTTGCAAGTAAAATAGGAGATTTAAGCCCGTTCACATAAGTAGTAAAAATCCCTATCATACGCCACCTTCTAGTCATGCCTTTGAATCTCACTTACATCGGTCTCACTTCCAAATTACAAGTCTTCGTTCAACTAGTCCTAAGTCTCGTCACTTCGACGTAGAGGCCGGGCAAGTCTAAGTCGTGCACAAGTCTTGGTAAGAACTTGTTTCCCTAATGTGAATATAGTGAGTTCAAGTTTTCTATCGAATTAAAAAAGACGAAAACTACTACAATTAAGGAGAGTGTATATATATATATATTGTGTATGGAGAGAAGTCGTTTCCTACTGTCAAGAATGTTGTCGAGGATACATTGCTTGTTTTATATCTATATGATGATTATGGCTAATTACTTTACTCCAGGTGCATTAGCAATAGCTCATACCAATTTCAGCACAGATCAGTCTGCGCTTCTTGCGCTCAAAGCTCACATCACTAGTGACCCTCAAAACATCTTGACCGCCAACTGGTAGTCTGCCTCCAATTCCAACATTTGCAACTGGGTTGGCGTTAGCTGTGGTGCTCGCCACCACAAAGTCACGGCCTTAAATATTTTAATAATAGAAAACAATTTTTAGTTTTATATACTTAAAAACTTTATAAAAAAAAGAAACAAAAGAAGAAGTAAATGAATAAATTGGGAGTCAAGCTTCAACCTTGTAGCTTTCTGGTTAGTTGTTCATTCTTGGTTTGGCTGAAATGGAAAAATATTATGACGGAAGCCTCACATTGATTTGAGATACTCAATTTCAGTGACAACTTAATTACAAACTAATTGATATCCATTTCATTTTCATTTATCTTTTTTTTTTCACTTTTTATTAAAATTGAAAAATTGTAAACCTCTTTGGTAACTGCTTTCTTGAGTTTTCAATGTTTAGCCTTTATTTTTCAATTTCCTTTAAAAAAAAACATTAAAAGTAGTACAAAACAAATTTTCAGTTTTAAAAAAAAAATGGCTTCGAAAAATAAAAACTAAAACGAAATAGTTATCAAACTTGTCCTTAATTATCAAGAAAATAAGAAATTTTAAGATACTTTTTTTAATGCATTGTAGAGATCACAATTCAATGTTGTTTGTTTTGATCTAGTGTGAACTGAAGACTACAATTCCACATTTGGGCATCTCCAGCTGTGCAGCACAAATTACCAATATTGTTAAATGTCAATGAAGATGTTTAGTCCTCATGATGTTTCACCTAAAGTAAAGGTGAATGAAGATGACATCCTTAAGCGTTGATTGCTCACTTCCAATTTGCTACTGGGTTGGTGTTACTTACGATGTACGCCACCTTCTAGTCATGCCTTTGAATCTCACTTACATCGGTCTCACTTCCAAATTACAAGTCTTCGTTCAACTAGTCCAAGTCTCGTCACTTCAACGTAGAGGCCGGGCAAGTCTAAGTCGTGCACAAGTCTTGGTAAGAACTTGTTTCCCTATTTATGTGAATGTAGTGAGTTCAAGTTTTCTATCGAATTAAAACCAAAAGACGAAAACTACTACAATTAAGGAGAGTGTATATATATATACTGTGTATGAGAGAAGTCGTTTCCTACTGTCAAGAATGTTGTCGAGGATACATTGCTTGTTTTATATCTATATGATGATTATGGCTAATTACTTTACTCCAGGTGCATTAGCAATAGCTCATACCAATTTCAGCACAGATAAGTCTGCGCTTCTTGCGCTCAAAGCTCACATCACTAGTGACCCTCAAAACATCTTGACCGCCAACTGGTCCTCTCCCTCCAGTTCCGATATTTGCAACTGGGTTGGCGTTACTTGTGGTGCTCACCACCACAGAGTCACGGCCTTAAATCTCTCGTTCATGGGTCTTGCCGGGGTTATTCCTCCGCATCTAGGCAACCTCTCATTTCTCGTTGAGTTGGGCCTTAAGAATAATAGTTTTCATGGCCCCCTGCCCCAAGAATTGTCTCGTTTGCGCCGGTTGAAGAAGATTAACTTTGGAAACAACAACTTTATGGGAACCATTCCTTCGTGGTTTGGGTCCTTCGCTAAACTTGAATCCTTCAAGTTGTACGGTAATGGCTTCTCTGGTTTCATACCCGCTGCTATCTTCAACTTATCTGCACTCGAAGGAATTAATCTGAACAGGAATCAACTATCAGGTACGTACGTAGCACCACTACGAACCACCTAGGCATATAAATTAGTGTTGCTTGCTTCATTACATTTAACATCTTTGTTACATTTTAACATCTATATTATAAAATGTATAACAATCATCTCGTTTGTTTTTTTCCCTTCTTTTTTGTCGGCATGCTTGCACATATTTAACAGGTAGCATACCCAGAGAAATCGGCAACTTAACAATGGTGAAGGGCATATACCTTGACGACAACAAGTTCGAAGGTATACTGTATGACTTAGGTTTTGTTTTTTATATATACATATATAAGCCCCTTCTTAGCTGGGATCTTGTTCAACTTCATCAAAAAATGAGATGAGAGGGCTATCGTAGGATCGTATATTTACTGTGTAAGACCCTCGTAGTCTAGAGCAAAAAAGAGATCCTATATAGTGAGTACATGGTCCTTAGAATGTATCCCACTTTTGCTACGGTACAACGAGATTCCCACTAAGAAGCTGCTCCTATATATGTTTACATGATTTTAACAATATACACGGATTGATTTATAGAACTTCCAAACGAGATAGGCAGTTTAGGTCAGCTGGAGGAGTTGTTTGTGCAGGACAATGCCCTAAAAGGCTCTGCTTTTTTGCCTGTCCTCAACATATCTTCTTTGATTGCTTTCTCTCTATTCGGGAACAACATGAGTGGCAGTCTTCCGGACAATATATGTGACCATCTTTGGAGTGTTCAACTAATTAATTTGGGCCAAAACCAGTTAGACGGTCCTATTCCTTCCAAACTGTGGCAATGCAAAGAGCTTCGTGAAATTACATTACAGTCTAACAATTTCCGTGGAAGCATACCCAAAAGTCTTGGCAATTTGACTTACTTGAGCAAGATATTTTTTTTCAACAATGATTTAGAAGGTAATAATTTTGGGGGCGTTTTACAATCATTTCGGTTTTAGTTTTTAGTTAAACCGAAGTTACAAAGTTAATGCAAGCGTGCTAAAATTGTGACAGGTACAATACCGGATGAGATTGGTGATCTTCCACAGTTAGAGAATTTGGCACTGGGGATTAATAATCTCAATGGCGTCATCCCATTCAAACTCTTCAATAAAACCACGATAAGAGAAATATCGCTTTTTTTTAATCAGCTATCAGGTGGCCTCCCAGCAAACATAGGTCTTAACGTTCCAAACCTAGAATACCTTGGTGTAGCCAGAAATAACCTGGTGGCCGGACTACTCCCTAACCTCTCCAATGCTTCCAAGCTCAGGGATTTAGAAATGAGCCAAAACTCACTTACCGGGTTTCTTCCTAGCACACTCTGCTCCTTGAAAAACCTCGAGTATCTATCCTTGTCCTCGAACAATTTGACGATTGATGCTTCTACTCCACAAGCTGAAAGCACTCTATCCTGCTTGTTTAATCTTAGAAAATTGAAAGGATTATACTTGCTAGATAATCCATTAAACACCACAATTCCAGCTTCTCGCGGGAATCTATCTACGTCACTCCAAGATATTTATTTAAGCTTTTCCAACATTAGGGGTAACATTCCCGTTGATATTGGCAACTTGAGCAGCTTGATAGCATTAAGCTTGGAACATAGTCAGTTGACTGGAGTAATTCCAACTTCAATACAAGGGCTACAAAATCTCCAAGCTTTGTATTTGAATGACAACGAACTGCAAGGACATATCCCGTATGAACTCTGTCAACTAAACAACCTAGACGAGTTACGTTTGGGTGGTAATCGGCTCTCTGGTTCTATTCCTTCCTGCTTGGGTACTTTGTCAGTAGCTCTAAGAAGTCTATCGCTAGGGTCCAATTTGTTAACTTCTAAAATACCGTCTTCCATGTGGGAACTCAACCATATATTGCACCTAAACTTGTCATCCAATTCTCTAGTTGGACCACTCTCAGAAGACATCGGAAACTTGAGAGATGTGGTGGATATGGATTTATCAAACAACTATTTCTCTGGAAACATTCCCGGTAGCATTGGTGGTCTTCAAAATATGATTAATTTTTCATTGGCAAACAATTATTTACAAGGCCCTATTCCCAGTTCATTTAAAACCTTGCTAAGCCTAGAATTCTTGGATTTGTCCAAAAACAATCTATCTGGAGAGATCCCAAAGTCATTGGAAGCACTCTTGTATCTCAAGCATCTAAATTTGTCTTTTAACAAACTCCAAGGAGAAGTTCCAACCGGCGGGCCTTTCAAAAACTTCTCTGCTGATTCATTTGTATCAAACGGTGCACTCTGTGGTGCTTCCCGACTCCATGTTCCCCTATGCAAAAATAGAACAAAAGTTAAGCCAAATTGGAGGAAAGCTAAATATATCATCTCAGGGGTCATACCAGTAATATTCCTAGCGGCCGCTGTATTGATTCTGATACTATGCAAGAAAAGGAATGTCGAAGTTGTTAGAGAAACTGCCTCACTACATCAAGTTCTTTGGAGAAGAGTTTCGCGCCTAGAACTTGTAAGGGCAACAAATGGATTTCATGAGAGTAACTTACTAGGCATGGGGGGTTTTGGCTCAGTATACAGAGGAACACTTTCAGATGGGATAGATATCGCTGTCAAGGTTTTCAATTTACAGCTAGAAGGGGCATTCAAGAGTTTTGATAAGGAATGTGAAATGCTAAACAATATCCGTCACCGGAATCTTATTAAAATCATAAGTTGCTGCGATGAACTTGATTTCAAAGCCCTGATACTTCAATTGATGCCTAATGGAAGCCTCGAAAAGTGGTTGTATTCTCCAAACCACTCCATGAATATCCTGCAGAGGTTAGACATAATGAAAGATGTTGCATTGGCACTAGAATATCTTCATCATGGTTGCTCGATACCTATCATTCATTGTGATGTGAAACCAAGCAATATACTACTAGATGAAGATATGGTTGCACATGTTGCTGATTTTGGCATTGCAAGACTCATCGGCGGTGGAGATTCAATGACAGAAACCATGACCCTGGCCACAGTTGGATATATGGCTCCAGGTGATGTATTTTCTTAATTTTGTATATGTTGGCCTTATTAGGAGTTATAATTTTCTTTTTATCATGTATAACTAAATTCACATACAAATTTTGCAGAGTATGGGATGGAAGGAAGCGTTTCGACTAGAGGGGATGTGTATAGTTTTGGTATTGTACTCATGGAGACATTCACAAAAAGGAAGCCAACAGACGAGATGTTTGTTGGGGAAATGGATTTAAAGCAATGGGTTGCAGATTCATTATTTCCAGATGCTGCAATAGGTGAAGTTGTGGATGCCGATATACTTGGGGTGGAGGAAGATGGTGATTTCGTGAGCAGAAGGGTTTGCTTATTATCCGTTATGAGATTAGCTTTAGCTTGCTCTGCAGCATTGTCGGGAGAGAGGATTAACATGAAAGATGCCGCAATCACACTCACCAAAATCATGACCAAGTATTTGAAGGACCGTGGAGGAATGAACTCTTAGTTCTTTTTGTTCTCTATATTTTCAAATCCATTTCCTTATTGTTGTTTTCAATCTGCAATGACTACATTATCTTCTCATAGTATATGAGAATATGACGATATTCCTAAAATTGAAATGTCATACCTGGATTTGTCAATGCAATGAGACCAGTAGTACCAAAATTGCAATTCCAATTATTCTTCCCATATTTGGTAGTAAAGCATTCAGTTTCTACAACCAACCAAATCCATTTCAAAAAATTTACACTTCCAACTCAAGAACACCTGTCATGGGAACATAAGGTTATTTCAGTCAAAATATCAGGAAGTTACAAACTTCTACACATGCCCTTGACAAAAAATTATAATCCATAATTGTCCTTATTTTACTAACCAGTACATCCTATGATGATTTTTTTCTTTTCTCTCTCTAGAAAGACAAGCATCAATGCATTTTCATTCTTAATCAAACTGCATTAACTTAGTGCAGTTTCTTAAAAATCCATTCCCTTGTCATGACTTCATACTAAATAATTAAAACATATCTACTTTTTAATCATGTTGCGTAAGAGTAGTGAAGACTTAAGTAGCAAACAGTCTGCAAGTACAACCCCTAGAAGCAAATAGAGTTAGTTATAAAAAAGGGAACTTTAACGAAAAGCACCTGGTACTGTTCACTTTAACGAAAAACCACATTTTTACACTAAAAAGTCAATCCTGGTACTGTTCACTTTACCCTTTATTTTGTCCTTATCATTAAAACTCAAAGTTTTCAAGCCCTTTTCATTAGTTTTCCTTTATAAAAAAGTTCCAGTAAAGATTGAAAATATATATTGCAGGCCCATATTGTTTACATGCACCTACACAGAAATGTTGCATGGCTAAAGAAACACAACTTCAATTCAGCGTTTGCATTTTACTCTAAGTGGTAGTTCGAGGATGAAATGTGCATGAACAGAACAAGAAAAGCAATTATGTCATGCAAGTTACACAAGGCTTTAGATATGCAGAAATTTTTCGTGGGAAATAATTAAGCAAGCTGCTTTCATCAGTTTCATACGAGGCAAAAACACCCATAATCAGAAACAAAACTTTCCTCTCCTTCTCCATAGAAAGGAACTTGAGATGCGAGACTATTGTAACAGCCAGCCTTTTGTGGTTCCTTCTCTTCCCACTGAGGTTTTCCTTCCTTGCGTGCAGCCAACTTAAGGTCACCCATCCTTAAGGGTGCGTTTGGTACGTGGGACGGGACGGGACGGAACGGGACGAGGCGTTCCGTCCCGCGTTTGGTGCGCCAAAAATGGGTGGAACGGGCTGTTCCACGGGACAGATTTTGAGTGTTTTTGAGTTCCACCTCCCCCCCTGGAACGGGTTTGTTCCACGTTTGTGGAACGCAATGTTTTACCATTTTAAGACAAATATACCCCATGTCTTTTTCAAAAATTACACATTCGTTCCGTCCCGTCCCGTCCCGTCCCGTTCCGTTCCGTCTGCGTACCAAACGCACCCTAAAGGAACAAGGTTGTAAATAGTAAAAATTCAATAGCAACCAAATTTCCGTAAGAGGAATGAGAGATTTTTAACATACATGTACTTGTCATAGCACTAGAATTCACCGATTCCAGGAAACTTCCATCTACCATCACCAAAAGGATGTGCAGGATATCTGTGTCACCAATGTAACAATGTTGCATAAGAAATCACTGGACTGGGTTCATACTTGTAGTTCTAGTGTAACTGTAACATACTTAAGTTCACCAGAAGGACCAAGACCAACACTAATTTATTCTATTACAGTTCCGATTAAGAATTCAAATTTCTTAGCAAAACTTGACATGAAATCTTCATAACAATGGAGGGCAGTCCGTCCGCAAAAGAGAGGAACATGGTCAACTCCCAGTGTAAGATAATCATCATTGGAAAATCCATTTTGGTCCCAATAATATATATATATATATATATATATATATATATATATATATATATATATGCTTATTCTGATCACCAATCTGGGAGGAAAAAAAGAAGAGGTCAACTTCTTTATCTAGATTCAAGATTCAAACTGATAGGTGTGTAATGAAGGCCAAACTATAGTTTTTCTTTCACATCCCTTTGCATTGATAAACTTTTTAAGCACATCAAACCTAAAATCAAGTATTCTAATGGGGAACACAGTACCATAGCACGTTGTAGAGCACGATACTGAAGAAACATTGATATTATCTCTAGCATCCAAATGGGTTATGATTCTTAAAATATGAACACGTAAATTAAGTGTTGCAATACAGCCATGTTCATTGTACCAGACTTATAACTTCAAATGGGAGTTCAAAATATCAAAGAAGACATACCTCTGATCCAAAGTAGAAGAAGAGTTAACGTTTGAGTGAAAAGACAAGGCAACATGCAACTTCAAACCTAACCTGAGTCAGAAACCAGTTTGAAAAGCTCTTCATATAGAGACCAATCATATGCAAGAGGAGAGAAACGCTCCACAATTCCCCACCAAACCTCAACTGCAATTCCGTGGACACATGCCAACTTGAGTGCTTTTAGAGCTACAGTTAAGGCCTTGATTCTGAAACAACAGTAAATTGAGCAACATATAAGGAGTTTCTGTCTCACTTGAAAGGAAACTAAATTAAAAAAATAAATTTAGAAACATTTTGAAACGTACATTTACATAACTTCAATTGGGAAGAGATCAAAATAGTTAACTGCAACCTTGTAGCTAATCATACTCCATCGTTTAAAAGAGTAACAACAACAACAACAACAACAACAACAACAAAGCCTTTTCCCACTAAGTGGGGTCGGCTATATGAATCCTAGAACGCCATTGCGCTCGGTTTTGTGTCATGTCCTCCGTTAGATCCAAGTACTCTAAGTCTTTTCTTAGAGTCTCTTCCAAAGTTTTCCTAGGTCTTCCTCTACCCCTTCGGCCCTGAACCTCTGTCCCGTAGTCACATCTTCGAACCGGAGCGTCAGTCGGCCTTCTTTGCACATGTCCAAATCACCGGAGCCGATTTTCTCACATCTTTCCTACAATTTCGGCTACTCCTACTTTACCTCGGATATCCTCATTCCCAATCTAATCCTTTCTCGTGTGCCCACACATCCCACGAAGCATCCTCATCTCCGCTACACCCATTTTGTGTACGTGTTGATGCTTCACCGCCCAACATTCTGTGCCATACAACATCGCTGGCCTTATTGCCGTCCTATAAAATTTTCCCTTGAGCTTCAGTGGCCTACGACGGTCACACAACACGCCGGATGCACTCTTACACTTCATCCATCCAGCTCGTATTCTATGGTTGAGATCTCCATCTAATTCTCCGTTCTCTTGCAAGATAGATCCTAGGTAGCGAAAACGGTCGCTTTTTGTGATCTTCGCTAGATTGCTCCGATCATTAGTGTGGATAAGTATATAAATGGATAGAGATAGGAAAGCAAACACAAGATGTACGTGGTTCACCCAGATTGGCTACGTCCACGGAATAGAAGAGTTCTCATTAATTGTGAAGGGTTTACACAAGTACATAGGTTCAAGCTCTCCTTTAGTGAGTACAAGTGAATGATTTAGTACAAATGACATTAGGAAATATTGTGGGAGAATGATCTCGTAATCACGAAACTTCTAAGTATCGGAGTGTGGTGTCGTCTTGACTTGCCTTATCTGTCTCATAGGTAGATGTGGCATCTTCTCTGGAAGTACTCTTCCTCCATCCAGGGGTGGTATCTTTAACTGGTGGAGATGCACAAGGTAATGTATCAATTTCACTTGAAGCTTACTTGTAGTTTCAGGCTTGGTCAAGCGCGATACAAACCATGTAGTAGGAGTCCCCCAAGTCGCCGAGCTAGGGGGTCTGCTGAAAGAGGTGACAGACAAGGTAAGCAATCAGAGCTCCGACTGATTGTTCACCTTCTCCCCATCTTGCAGCAGCATGAAGGATAAAGAGAAGAAAAATGAGAAGAGATGATATGAGATACTTTTGCTTTTGAAGAAGTAACTTTCCACAGGCTTATTCTTGAACTGAGCTGGAAGGTTTTCTGGTTTCCTCCAGAGTATAAGGCCGACTGAAGAATTTGAGGGTCAAAACAAGTCCATCAAATCTAGAGTACGTTCCACCCTGCTGATATGGGATACTTTTGCTTTTGACAGAGTAATGGATGTATCGGCACGTGTGCTGTTACGCTTGTCTCCACATGCTTCCTTGTATCCTTCGCACTTGCCCTATCTGTTCCTCAAGCAGATGCGAAATCTTCCCTGGAAACATAAGATGTTGAAGATGAGTACTCAAGAGCAATGCCAGGTAAGTAATCAGGTAAGGGGTTCCAGGCAGTCAGTTCCTGGCTGGAAGCTTGATTCCAAGTGCTGACTGATTGCTCTCTTTCTCCTTGTCTTGCAGGTAAAAACAAGGCCAAAGGAAAAGATAGGGAAAAAGCATGATATGGGATACTCTTGCTTTTAACCCTGATGATATGAGATATTCTTGCTCTAGTATAGCTTGTTTGCAGAGGTATTATCGGGGGGAAAGAAAGCTGAATATTTCGAAAGGCTTCGTTGGGAGTGCCCTCTCAGATATGATGAAGGGTTGAGCATTTTTGCAGGTCTGCCTGTCCGTTGGGGATGGAGGTCGACATATATAGGAGTCTCCCTAACAACAAGTAGTAATGTTATTCCTTTACCCTGCTTGGTCATAGCACGGTAGTGGGAGCTGCCAGTTTCACATGTTTTAACTCTGTCAGAGCACTTTGAAAAAGTGGTCTGTGGTATCTGGCTCTCGAGATTCGGAGAACGATGCCTCTTCGATTTTTGAGAAAGCAATCATGCTGGGGTCTGGCTCTCGAGATTCGGAGAGCAGTGTCTCTTCGATTTTTGAGGAAGTAATCATGTTGGGAGTCTGGCTCTCGAGATTCGGAGGGCGGTGCCTCTTCGATTTTGGAGCAAGCAATCATGTTGGGAGTGTTTTCTCGAATGTGAGTAAAGGTTGGGCATGTTTGCTAGTCTACCTTGCCACGAAGCACAAAGGTTGACACACAGGGACTTTCCAATTATCCAGCAATGGTACTGTTCCTTTACCCTCTCTTCGCTTTTGAGAAAGTAGTCATGTTGGGAGTCTGGCTCTCGAGATTCGGAGGACGGTGCCTCTTC